AGCAGTACTCTTTAAAAGTGTCAAGGTTATGAAAGACAAGGAAAGACTATAAAGTTCACGTTAGAGGAGAATAAAAAGACATGACAAATCAATGCAATGTGGGATCTTGGATTAGATCTAGAAACAACAACAAAAAATAAGTAGAAAAACTGGTGAAGTTGGAGTCTGTTGTTTAGTTAACAGATATAGTATTGTACCAATGCTATATTTTTGTTTTCCCTAATTGTTCTATGATTATATAAATTGTTAAAATTAGAGGTTTGGTGAAGGGATACATAAACTCTGTACTATTTTTTACAACTTTTTATAAGTCTAAAATTATTTTAAAATAACTGGTTAAAAAAAGTTAAAAGGATCGGAATGTCTTGGGGAGGAAAAACGATATTTGCCAGGATATTTGCGCATGAATTGCCTCTCAATTTTTCTTGAAGAATGGTGAATCCTTTTTGACTTATAAATTCAAATAAATCAGGGTGGGTTTGTTTTACTATTAAAATTTGTACTCATTCTTTTTGTTCAATTTGTTCTGTATTCTTTTTGAGAATTACTATTTTTTGGTTGGGTTTGTCTCTGTTCTATTAGAACATTTTATCTTTCATCATTTTGTCTTTCATATTATCTTCTTTTGAATTCTAGGAGAATTTTTTTAAAAAACTCTATCTAGGATTTGATTTTCTGTAGTGACTACTATGGCCCTTTATGGCAAAGACACATTTAATTCTTTTCATCATATATATCAATAGTTTCATACAGTGTTTCTTTTTGTAAAAAATTATTCTTTATTAAAAATTATTGGGGTGACACTGATTAATAAAATCAAATAAGTATAAGTATATCATTCAACAGAAAGTCGTACATGTCTGGCATTGTGTGTTCTTACATTGGCCAGGAAACATTTCATCTTTCTCGTTTTTCCGTTTGTAATTACTGGGAAAATGGAATACAATTTTTAAAATGTATTTAATTTTTTCTTAAATATATGATTTTATACACATATACATATATATGCTATTTATCCTTGCCTTCAATCAATGTAGTGCCATATGCAAAAAATTTTTAACAGGACCTATACAGTGTGTACTTTTCAGTTTACTCATTCTTGAATGGAAATCTATTCATGACAATTCTAAAAGACTGGTTTCATGAGTCCTTGATTGTTCTTACTGTCCTTTGTCCCCTCTCTTACAGCAAAAATGAGGCTTGGTACACATAGAACCTACACATTTTCTAGTACCTAAATGGGTGAGCTTTTTTGGTGCCTGCTGCCTAGTTCTCTATTGAGTAAAGTAATTTATTCTTTAGAATATGCAGCTACCTATGGTTTGACTATGTACAGTGCAAGAAAATTTTTATCTTTTTGTATGTCTGGGGCTCTAAAGCATAGGCCTTTCCTGCTCCTGCCCTCTAGAATACAGTGCTTTATACTTGTCTTCCTCTGTCCTGAGGTCTTGCTGAATATGAGGGAATTTTAGTCTCTTAATTCCTTAATAAGAAGTGTTAATGCGACTGAAATGAGGAAATGGTTAGGAAGAAGATACTGGAATTTTTCTGTAGAGTAGCAATAAGTTGCTAATTTTTAGGTAAGTATATATTATGGGTCTCTGAGCTAGAAATACAGTGGTAGTAGGTCAAATCCCTTTCCAATTTACTTTTGTATCATGCTGTCTTTCCAAAGCGTAAGGTGTAACAGGCAAATAGCTGTATTTATCATTCAAGTCTAACTGGTGCTTTAATTAGAAAAAATTCCTCACAGCTTGGCAAGTGATTAAATATTATCCTTAACATCAAATATTTTCATGAATAGCTAAGTAAACATTGGAGTTAAATTAAATGAACATTTAACTTAAAGGTGAACTTCAAATGACAGTTTCCCCAGTTTCCAGTATCACAATCCTCATAAGAACAAATTTATTATATAGTATATTAATGTAAAAATGGAAAAACACTATAACAGAAGCATTTTATAATTCTATAGTTATACCCATCTTACCTAGGGGTTTGATATTGATCTTAAAAGCATAATGGTTCAAATGCCCAGATACATTTGTTCCTTCATATAGTCTAGGTTCAACGGGATAATTCTGACATTATGTGATTTTGCTTTATTGACTTTAAAACTTAATTCTGTATAAGATGTGACTCTGCTGAATTAGAAAATGATAGGCCTAATTAATACTATATTAATTTAGTAGTTTCCATTGTATGTATTTAATTTGACAGAATACAGTAGCCTGTGGCTTAAAGTCAATGAGTAGCTTCTGGCAGTCTTTTACAGCAGTTAGACTTGTGCTCTGAGCTCTGAATAAGGTCTTTAGTTCATTGATTAGATTTATTGCTTCAAGATAGTTTTGATATCTGACATTGGTACTTTGGGATATATCCAATTAACATCCTTAAAATTATAATCACAGTTTTAAAGATGACTTACACTTATAAAAACGATAAGCTCGAATTCTTCCAAAATATTTCTACCTTTCTATTTTAAATCACCAAAGTTTTTGGTACACTAGAGATAATTTGCATAGGAAGAATAAAGGCTAATGTTTTAAATGTCAATATTTTAATATCATTCTACTTTAATATATTTTAGGAAAAGATAAGTCTCCTAAAGATATAATGATAGTGTATTAAGATTTCTATGTTATAATACAAATGCACTATAAACAAAAGTAGATAATTTTTCACATGGTAAAACTTGTATAGTAAAGCATTCTATAGGGTTGTATAGTTTTAGGAAACTTAAAGAAGTGGTTTTAGAGTTTCTGTTCCTGAGCGGGGCGCCATTTTCTATTTAGGGCCACCAAATAACCTAGAGAAAAATATTGGGTATAAAACACATGAACACTAAAACTTAAAAAATAAAAACAAAATTTAAAACTCTATACAATAGCCTTGTGTTCAGTTTTGACTCTAAAAGTTCAATAATTTAAATTTTCTTTTTTCTTCATCTCTAACAAAAGGGGAATTGTGAGATTTTTTTCTATTCTTAACTCAAGCTTCCTATGATCCCGCATCTCTAAATTAAAAATAAAACATGCCAAGTTTCATTGACTGAAATACACAACTTTTCATATTTGAAAACCTCTGAATCTGAATACATTTACAATTGATGGCAATGTTTTTTTTTTATATATATATCTTTAACAATACATAAAATAATGGTATGTCTTACAATCCATGGTGTCTCAGATTCTCTGATATTATAATTAAGTAAGACGTGGGGGCTTTGGAGTAAGCTAGTTAACCAGTTCATAGCTTTTTGACTCTTCTCTAATTGTTAAATCGTACTTTGGCAGGACCAATATATTCCCTAGATGTACCTCATGTGAAAACCAGAATTATTATAGCCTTTAACAAGACATTAAATTCCAAACTTAAACAAGTCAGTGGTTTTGTACCCCTTTGTCCTGTGGCATAGTAGAGCAAATATCTCTGTGTCAGGATTGATGGGGTAAAATTCCTTTTAGTAGCATTTCTCTAGACTTACAAGAGGCAGTTTTCTGATTCCAGTTTTATTCTTATATGCATGAAAAAATATATCTCTTCATGTCACTGTTACAATTTATATTTGACATATGTATAACTTTCATATGACCAAATTAACAAGTTACCAGTTTCTCTGTACAATTTCTGCCATTTCCTAAGAAAATGCAGAAAAGTGTATAAACTAGAAGAATTAAACTTTAAGAATGTTTAACATTAACATTCTTTGTAAATTTCTCCTATCTTAGTACTACTTCATCTTCTATTAAAATTATTCGGGCAGTACAACTTTAATAATTTGTGTTTATATATATAATATATATTATATATGTCATATGTAACTGAAAATAAACAGCATTTATCTAATATGAAATAGCTATTTCAGCTACTTCTCGAGATGTATACTTGGAGAAAATATTAACATCAGAGGAAGTCTGTTTTACACTTTGTTTAGTAACACTCTGGGCTTTGATACTAGGTCAAAATAATGGTTTAATTTCATGTTTGCAGTACAGTGGTAATAGCAGTGAAGGAATTTAGTGAGTGGTGATGGGGTAAGGGAATATGAGAGATTGGGGAGGCTCCTTAAAGTAGACTGTTTTGGTATTGAGTTCCAACACATGGGATAGGTCGGAAGTATAAATATGAGTGTGAAATAGCTAATCTTGATCACTTTACTGTAAAGTGTATGCCTACTTTCCTTACCAAAATACACTGAAAGCAAAATTCATATCACCATCACAACAGTTCATCAATCTGTGGTTCTTTACTAAAGATATAGTCCCATTGCCCTGAAGTGATGATGCAAGAGTTTTACTAAGAAACCAGGTCATACGGGAATAAGCAGAATTCCCTGATACATAGTAGAGAGTCAAAATCTAGTGAATATATACTTGGATCTAACTAGATTACTACTCTTTGGCCTCGATCTGATTTAGGTTACATTAACACAATTCCCAAACTGAAGGAGGTTAGCCATTTTCACCTCCTCATATATTTTACATGCACTTAACATAGAAAATAAAAATCTGAAATATGAAATACTTCATATATGAAATATCTAGGCAAATTCATAAAAATGGAAAGATTAGAGGTTACCAGAGACTGGAGGGGAGGGGAGATGAGAAGTTATTGCTTAATGGGTACAGAGTTTCTTTTCATTTGGAGTGATGAAAAAGTTTGGAAAGAGACTGTTGTGATGGTTAAACAGCATTGTGGATGTAATAATTACCACTAAGTTATACACTTAAAAATGGAAATTTTAAGTTATATATATTTTACCATGGTAAATAAAATATTTTTGACTATTTGTGGTTTCTTACTTGTTCAAAACTAATTAACAGAAATTATAGTTAATTTGGAATTCCATTTCATTCACATGAAAGAGTTCACTAATTCTGTACTTCTGATCACGAAAGTGATATAAATATCTAAAATTGTTCTTTTCAAAAGAGAAATTTGGAAAACTTGAAATATGACTAAATAAAGACAGAAAAAAATCAAAACAAACTTCTTACTTTAATTGGTTCAGTCTGCATCACAGGTGCAGGCATAGTAATGGCACTTGGAGCATAAACCTGGTGATATGTTGCTTGAACTCCATGATCAGAATAAGGCTATTACAAAAAAAAAAAAGGATATATATTGTCTTTTATTTATTAATTCAAAATATTTATTCAACATTACAATGTACTAAGCATTTTGCTACACAATAAAGAAACAGATGAAAAACACATCCCCTGTCTTTAACTTATAGACTGATCACAGACAGACAACTCATCAAGTCCTATGAGACATGAATAGAGATGCATGGGAGAAAAGAACTACTTGATTTAGCTTAAGAAAGTTGGGGAGGATGGTCAGGAAAAGTTTTCTAGTGGAGTTGATGCTTGAATTTTAAGAATTAAGAAAAGAAAGTGGAAATAGTATGCACAAAGGAATAGGGGCAACTAAGAACACATCTCATTTGGAAGATCTACACAGTTGTCTAGTATAGCTGGAAGGAAGAATATACACTAAAAGACAGTTGAAAGATGAGACATCAGAGCCAAAGGTAAGGAACAGATTGTGTAAAAACAGATGTATCGCTTGTTCAACAGGTGGTGGAACTATTCATTGAGAGACAGAATACAAGAAAAGCAAGTTTGATGTTTATGTAATTGTGTGGGAGGGGGCTGGAGAGAAAAAGTTAGGTTTATAATATACAAAATTTGAGGTATTTGTAGGACTTCTCGTAGAGGTATACTCTTTATAGAAAGCTAAATGGTTCTATCTAAAGTGGTTTCTAGTTACCACCCCTCTCTATTAATTAACATAGTTTAGCCTATAACTTCTACCAGAAACAATATTAAAAGCATGCATATATCATTTTATATGGAAATAGCATAGAAATTAATAGCACAAATTATAAGCTAATATAAGTAATATTTCCAGAAAAATCTTATTAGATTCCACTAAATCGTGAATATATCATGATGATAAGTTATCTGATGTCAGGAATTAAGAATATGGTTTAATGCTAAAAGTAGACTGTGGTTAAAAATCTAATGTAAAAGAATTCTTATCTTACTCCTCGCTCCTTGAAAACCAGAAAACAACAAAAAGAATAAAAGATATATATTTTTAAATGCCATCAATTAAACAAGGAAATGTCCATGATCCCCAAACCACAAACAATTTAGAATGTCTGCCAAATGTTATGCAATTTGGACCAATGTAAGGAAGGATTCTGAAGCCTCCTCAGATGCCAGGAAAGATAAAAATTTGCCTAAAGGTCAATGTTCTGAAAGATCTATTCAAAAAGTCTCAAGTGTAGGGGTATGTCAGCCTGAAGCAGAACTAGGAAATATCAATAAAGATCCAATTTATATTACTAAATAGCAGGGGAGTGGAACTGAAGGAGTAATCATGTTTTCACCATTTTTGTTATCTACCACCTTGCCTTGTAGCTGAGGAACACTGCTGGAGGTGAAACAGGGTGAAGGTAGAAAGGGAAGTAGCAACTACTATAACCTAATACAGAAAATGATCTCTAGAATGCTAAAAACCAGTGGAAGTGTATCTCAAACAGGAGACATAACAACACAGATACTTGAGACAACAGCCTGTTCCTCCCACCCTATATTTTGATAAATAGCTCATTTAAAGATTAGTATAAAGATAGCCTCATTTAAAGATTAGTATAAAGAGAGGAAAGAAAGCAAGCAACCTAAGCATGCATACTGCCTCTTCTCATCTTCTCCAACTCCATCAAGGAAAGACAAAAAGTTAAAGAAAAAGATGAGAAATTATCCTAGAAAAAGTGGAAAAGTTCAAATAAATACACTTGAATCTTAAAGAAATTATACTAACATCTCTAAAACAGAGCTCAAAAAAGAGATTTTAAGCAAACAGAAAACATTTTACAGATAATGATGTAAGCAAAGTGGCAGAGCTTAGGATAAAAAAAGATTAAAAACAAAATAGACTTGAGAGCCTTATTAGTTATAATGCAAAGTTGAATAAACACAATGAGAAATATAGTGATAGTTGTCTTGAAAAATCACATAAAACATAAAAAGTACCCTGAGAAAAAAATTACCTGAGAAATGATATATATATTAAAGACAAAATAATATCTAATATATGCATAGGTATTCCTAAAGAAGAAACAGAACTGGAATAAATTTTTTATTCCCAAAACTCTAACAGGGAAAAACAAAACAAAAGACCTCTTACTTAAAAAGTAGTCTGAAAATCAAAAGGGCAAACTGTTTCCCAGGCAAAAATATTATAAAGACTGATAAATTCCAAGACATATCTTGTGAAGTGATTTCAAGTTAAGATGGATTTCTTAGGCACACAAGGAAAAAAAAGCAAATGATAGACAAGAGGGAAAATCAGGCAGGCTTCAGATTTCTTTATGGCTACACTCAACACCAGAAGAGAGAAGACTAGGAAGTTTTAAGAGAAAAAAGTATTGTTATGGGTTGAACTGTGTTCCCTTCAAAACTTAAAGGTTGGAGTCCTAACCCCTGGTACCTCAGAGTGGGACTTTATATGGAGACAGGGTCTTTACAGAGGTAAGCAAATTAAAGTATGGTCACTAGGATGGAACCTAATCTAGTATGATCGGTATCCTTATAAAAATGGAAAATCTGGACACCAAGAAAGGAAAGATAATGTAAAGACCCAGGGAGAAGATGGTCATCTATAAGCCAATAAGAGATGCCTGGAATAGGCCCTCACAGCCCTCACACAGAACCAATCCCACCAACACTTTGATCTTAGACTTCTAGGCTCCATAACTGGAAGACAGTAAGTTTCTGTTGTTTCAGCCACCCAGTATGTGGTACTTTGTTCCATCAGCCTTCACAAACAAATACAATTATGATGCAATTATTTTGTGACTAATTTTATTTTCTTTCAGATTTGTGGACAACATGTTGAACAAACAAGCATGTAAGAACTCAAAGAATAAAGCATCCATAAGCCTTCTTCAACAAGAGTACTTGCAGATTCAATCAAGTGATAAATGGAGGATGAGACAAAGAATGGAGAAATCCTAGTAAAAGTATTGATAGTAAACATTAAGATCCAACTGTGGAAATTGTTCCAGAACAAAATCATAATATTATAAATGTTATCAATATAAAAAATAATATATTCAAATTGGGAGATGGGTACTAATTTCCTAATCCCTCACAATACTAATTTAAAACATATCATATACAATTCCTGGCACATAAGTGGTAGGATTATTAGCAATGGTTCAGGAATACAATTTAAAGACACTGAAGATGATATTTACCATTTGTAGTTATAAAATAAATTAGATTTACCTTTTTGAAAAAAGAATTTTTGAAATATTTTTTCTTGACTTAATTTTTATGTGGTTTTAATTGACAGAATGTTAGTAACAACAGATTGACAGGCAAATCAGAAGAAGGAGAAGCATTTGGTATTTTACTCTTTTCAAGGAGATAGAGTCAGGGATTAGCCTGGTAAAATGAACAGTTGATTTGAGAAATGATTCGGAACTAGTTAGTGAAGAAGTCTAAGATGAAGCATTCTTAGATATAAAAAAGGGGAAGAGATGTGAATAAAGCAAAGAAAACATAAGATATGCAGCTTCAATCAGGGTCCTGAACAAATATTTTTAGAAAAGAAAAAGAAATAAATGTAAGATGAGGTAGTAATAGATAAGTTACTTTGAGACTAATATGTACCTCTGGAACTGAAGCATCCATCAGAGACAGCGGAGGAGGAACACATCCACCATCTTGTGCAATTTCCACTGGTTGATAAATAACCTCAGATGGTTGTAGGTATAGGAACGGAGCAGAAGAGGCAGGAGACTAAAATGCAAAACCATATTTCTAATTCAAATATGATTAGTTAATCAATTAAACCAAAGGACTTACCCAACAGATGAGAGAAATATTTGTTTCATATTTTCCTAAAGTTCCTTTTCAGGGCTAGCACAGAAGTATCTTAGCAACAAATTAGGAACTCTAGGTTGTTATAAATTCCAGTTGTGTAGATGTCATTAAAGAACTTTTGTCACTAATAAGTACTGAAAGTTCTTAGTGCTTCAGAACCTCATATATAAATTCAGATTATTATAGTAAGATCACTTTTAAAGGTTGTAATAATATAACCTATGGTATTTAAATTGGCATAAACATCTATTCTCAGCTTTGCGACTTCCCATGGAAGTAGGAAAATTTCAAAAAAGATTAAACAATCTTTTCGGTGGTATATCATTTGTTATCAAAGCTGGGAGATGGAATACTTATTTGGGAGTATAAGTCAAACAAGCAAATTTGAAGGGCTAGAAAAATGTTAAAATTTCTAATAATACTAATATAAAAGTAATTTTTCATGTTTATATAACACTCATTTATAAAATATGTACACTTACATGATCTCAATCTTCACAAAAATCATGTGAGGAAACTTACAAAGGTATAGTGGTAACATTACTTTCATTTTACAAATGAGAAATCTGAGAAATATGCTGATTAAATGAAGTGCCAAAAGTATCACAGTTAATAAATAAATAGAAGAGAAAGGTCTCAAATCTAGTTCTCCTGACTTTAATATTCATGCAATCTTTGCAAAAGCACAATAAATAAGTTAATATTTACCTGAGGAACACCCCACTGCCACTGTCCTGGTAGACACTGTGCAGGGGCCTAAAATGAAATAAAAAAGACCCCACCCAAGTTATAAACGAGGGTCGAAACTGGATAGCTACATGCAAGAGAATGAAGTTGGACCCTTATACCTCAAACCATATATAAAAATTAACTCAAAATGGATCAAAGACTAAAATTAAGAGCTGGAAGAAAACATAGGTATAAATCTTTGTGACTTTGAATTAGGCAATTAAAAAAAAATTGACATTAAAAACAAGCATCAAAGGAACAAAAGTAAAAAGATAAATTGGGTTTCATAAAAATTAAAACAACAATAAGTGTTCACAAAGATATGGAGACATCAGAACCCTCATAAACTGCTAGTGGGAGTGTAAAATGGTGCAGCCTTTATGGTAAACAGTATGACATTTCCTCAAAACTTTAAACACAGAGATACCATGTAATTCAGCAATTCCACTCTGAGGTATAAGACCAAGGAGATATGAATACATGTCTGTACAATAACTTGTACATAAATGTTTGCAGCAGCATTATTTATAATAGCCACTATAATAGTCAGCTCCAAGTAGAAATAATCCAAATGTCCATCATCTGATGAATGGATAAACAAAGCATATATCTGTATAATGGAAATATATCCAGCTATAAAAAAGAATGAAACACTAATACATGCCACCACATAAACCATGAAAAAATGTTAAGCAAAAGAATACAGTAACAGAAGAGGAGTGACTGTTAATGGGTAAACTTTTGTTTTGTAGGGTTATTAAAATGTTCTAAAATTGTGGTATGGTTGCACAACTCTGAATTTAGTAAAAATCCACTCTTGTACACTTTAAATAGGTGAATTGTATGGTATGTGAATTATATCTAAATAAAGCTGTTATTTAAAAAAAGAGGGTCACATTATTTAAAATATTTATTGCAAAATGACAATATAAAAATAGAATTTTCTTAAATTAGTTGTATTATTTCTTAATAAATGTTTAATTCTTTACTTATTTTCCATTTTTAATAACCTTTTTTATTACTAAAAAAAAAAAAAGAAAAAAAGAAGACGACCCCATGGATCTACTATCTAAAGAAAATCACTGTTTGTGCTGACCATTTCAACTACTAAAAGGTAATATCACTATATTATAATGATGACCAAGATAATGTGAAGTTTATCTTCTGTATACTATATTCAGAAAGGCAGGATTATGTGTAATTTCTTAAGAAAATATTTTAATTAAAAAATCTTAAATAAAATGATTTATATGTAGTTAAATGAAATCACTACTTAGGAAATGAAAAATATGAAGGAGATAAAGACTAATTAAAACATGCATTCTCTGATTTGACTAACAAAAACTGATAAAGTTATCGGTCTCAGAGTTTGTAGAAAGAAAGAGCAAGGGAAGATTTTTATTAAAGTAGGAATTTTAGGGGCAGAATGATGATGGCTAATTGAAAAAAAAATATGTAAAGTGAAATTATTTCTTACATTGCAAAATATTATTTTACAAATTGGTACCAAAATCTTTCCTGCGTATGTCTAGGTACCTTACTTCAATTTTATAATTTGTGTCGAGAGGAAAACCAGAGTCAAAGTATAAAATTAAACTGTATTAGAAAATTTCCGGAATACATTTGCAATGTCAAGTGAGCAACAGCCATATGTAATCAACTAATGAAGGAGGAGCTGGACTTAGTAAGGCGCAAGCAGAAAGCAACTTTACTCTTTTTCACCCTACCACTTTAAAAGCATTGAGTTGTTCTTATTTGCCTTCGGATAAAAATTAGGATGGATCATTTCTGGGGGTGTGGTAGATTCTAAATGCTGACTCTCTAGTTGGGTACTTTACTAGATTCTTTGGTGATCTCCCTTCTGAGAACTTTTGACTGCAATTCTAGCCCTTGATTCTGCCTAGAAGTTTACTTCACACAGATACTTTCTCTCCTGGGGTCGCCTTAAAATTTTTTTTGGAAGGAGTCTCTTCTGTGAGATTCACATCTTGCTCTTGGGAAACAGAAACCTTTGCCTGCCTTGAGTAGAAGTTCAACACATTTCCACTGTAGTCTTCTTGTCCTGGCTCTGACTCCATAGACCACTCCAGCTTCTTTGGACATTTTTTAGGAGTGGTCAGCTCCAAGTGGTACCATCTCACGAATTTCAAGGGACAAATTTTAAGGTCTCTTAGTCATTAGTCTTCTTCACTTGGTTGAAGAGGAAGGGAAATGCCATATCACTCTTAACTCTTGTTAAAGAAAGCCTCCTTGCCAATTTTTCTTATTGATCCCATTCTCCCCTCATATGTGCTCACGGTAGGCAGTTAGTTAAGGGTCTCGAAACTGGTTTCACAAATTTTGGCTTCTCATGCTAAATGTTCTGGTACCTAATGTTCTGTCTTTGGGGCCTCTGCTGAAATTCTGAGGCGGTTTAGGAAAAGTCATGCTATATATATATTTTAAATACATGCCATTAAGTTACTTTCACTTTTAGTAAGTGAAGGAAACACTTTAATTTTATATTTAGCATGGTAATAGAATTTAAAAACAAGTGACGTCCCCCAAACCCAGTCTAATACTAAAAAGAAATCTGATAATCTTAACATTTCACGTTGGCCTATTTTAAGATTTCAAAAAGAAAAAAAAAAAAAAGAAACAGATGAATTCTCTTCCACTATTTCAGAGGTATGAAAGAATGTGATTTTATTTGTGAATGCTATAGACCAGAGATTGGCAAACTTTTTCTGTAAAGGGTGAGAGGGTCAATATTTTAAGTTTTGTATGCCGTAAGATCTCTGTTGCAAGTATTCAACTGTGTCACTGTAGTACAAAAGCAGCCATAAACAATACGTAAACAAATATGGCTGTTTCAATTGTACTTAATTTACAAAACACCGAAATGGTTGGCATTATAGTTCACTTATTCCAGTCTCCCACAAGAGTTAATGAAAAGAAGAATGCTGGTTTTCTAAAGGAGGGTGTCATAATATAAACCAAAATATTATTTTAATATGCATTATAGTTGACACTTGAGTAACATGGGTTTGAACTGCATGGGTCCATTTATACACAAATCTTTTAAAATAAATATACAGTTGGCCCTCCAGATCCCTGGATTCAACCAACCTCAGATTGAAAACAGTATTTCTAATCTGTGGCTGGGAATCCAAGGATGCGGGAGGTCGACTACATGCATAGTTCTATGCCGTTTTATACATGAGACTTGAGCAACCAAGGATTTTGGTATCCATGGTGAGGCAGTGAGCCCTGGAGCTCAAAAGTTGTACTCTGATTTTAGAATGTGTGGTGGGGTCGGTGCCCCTAACCTCCACATGTCCATAGTGTTTATGGGTCAACTGTATATTAAACATAATAATAAAAAACTGATCTAATATTAACAGTAACATTAAAAAAATCAGCCTGTGGTTCAATATTTGTATCTTACTTTGGGAATTATTTCTAAAGACTTTTTAGATTAAATGTTAGCTAGGGGAGCAAAACTTACCTCATTACATTTTGTAAAAGGAAGCAAACAGTCCATCGTCCTGTATAACACTGTTTAGTTCTCCCATAAAACAAACAAACAAACAAACAAACAAAAAACAAAAAAAAAATCCACTGCTATTAAGGCTTAACTATCTCTTTTTAATTACTAGAGTATTTGCATGAGAAAGAATAAAAGTTACTCTGAAAAGGACTGAAATTATCAAAGAGGATTTTCATTGTAATTTAATGTTTACCTGATAGTGATATGCAGGTTGCTGATAAACAGGCTGAGCTACCATCACAGGGGAACTAGATATAGAACGTGACTATAAGAGGAAAGAAAATGAAAAAATTATTTTAGGCAAAATTTTTAAAAATAGTTCATAATAAAATTTATCTCAAATTGTTACCTAAACCCAGTCAACTTATAGTTTATGACTGGAAATTCCATTTTCCACCTCTTGATATGACTTACTACCAACTCCACTAAAATCATCATAGTATTCCTACTTCCAAGTGGTTTCATTTCCATAGTAACGTTGAAACAACCACCAGAAAAGTTGCTTTTAGTCCAAAGGTTGTGAAAATATAGTTCTAAGAGAATATTTAGAGGAAAATGGTATCTGGACTTAAGGTGACACTGCCTATTTCCATTGTGGAGAAGAGCAGTAGGTAATGCTTACATAGTATTTAGAACTGAATGAATACTTATACCTGATTTTGCCACTGATGTCCCACTACTTACAAATAATCATCATCCTATTCCCTTGTTATACATTTAATTAAAGCAAATAGATTATTTATTGAGGCATTTGTTAAATTCTGTTTTGTTAATTTGGCATTTAAATGAATTAATCATCCAAGAAACAAGTGATTTATCTATGTTTTAAGAAAGTATATGTCTAACACCTGATTGTTCAAAGTAATAGAGTAAATCCGAAAACACATTATTTAAAACCAGATCATTTAAAAACAGGCAAGTTGTTATACAAGATAGGTAAAATAGGCTTTAATGATGGCAATTAAAATTCATTTTATGAAATGGGATCTAATTTATATTGTTTTAATGTTCACTCTCACTCCCCAAACTAAAAAAAAGCATCACAGTTTTGCACAATTTGCAGACTATTATATGCTAATAAAATTGTACCACGGATTAACATTAAGAGATAATAATATAATTTACTAATAGATTAAAGGAGGAAAAAAACATGATAATCTCAGCAGATATAGAAGATATATTTGTTAAAATTCCATACCCTTTCATGATAAAAACTCTTCTTAAATATAATAGAAAGTAACTTCCTTAATTGATTTAGGGCATTCTCAACCAGGTATGACTTTGCCCCCTAGGGAACACTTGGCAATATTTTTGGTTTTCATAAATGTGGGGAGGGTAGGACACTGTTAAACATTCCAAAATGTCAACAGTGCTTAGGCTGAGAAACCCTAATTAAAGAGTATCTTCTAAAACCTACAGTGTGTTTGTATGTATGTACATATATATATATGTGTGTGTGTGTATATATATGTATATACATATATATAAACCCATGTGTGCCTGTGCACACGTGTGTGTATAAATATATTAATGGTAAATTACTGAACTTGTTTCCTCTCTTAAAAACAAAGTCACTGTATTATTGTATTACTGCAGCAGAGATACTGTTAGTGCAATAAGTTAATGGGAAAAATATGAGAGACAAAAGGGCAAAAGAAATAGAGGCATACTGAATCATAAATGATTATCTATATGAGAGCGTGACAGTTTAAATACCAACATTTAAAAATCAAAAAGTATTACTACACACCAGTCACAACCTATTAGGATATGTGATTTAAAAAATATATACCACTCATAAAAAGCAAAAAAAACTATAGAGTATCTCAGAATAAATCCAACAAAAGATGTGTCAAACATTTTTATGGAGAAAGAAAATTTTATTGATGGGTAGAAATAAAAGAAAACCGAAATAAGTATTTATGGAAAATTTAATATTCTTAAATGTCCCAAATTAATCTATGTATTTAATGCAATTCTAATATAAACCAACAAAGGCTTTTCGCACGACTGAACAAGCTGATTTATAAAATTTATATTTATAAAAGCAAAGACTTAAAGATGGATGACAGGCTCTTGAAGAACAAAGTATGAGGACTGCTCTATCAGATTTCATGACTCATTATAAAGCAATAAGAATTAAAACAGAATTGGGTAAGGCAAATAAACACATCAGTGGAATAGTGTAGAGAGCTTAAAAAGAGACCCACACACATGGAAACTTGGCATTTGATAGAGTATCCATTTCAAAATGGTGGAAAAGAATGGATTAGTTGATAAATATACTTTAGATTTAAGATTTAGAGGTGAAAACAGTAACACTACAGTATTTTTCAAATAAAATATAAATTATCTATATTCCTGTAATAAAGAATCTTTTAAAAAACAAAAAACTAAAAGTTGAAACCATAAAGGAGAACATTAATACATTTGTCAACATTAAAGCAAAAAACTTGTGTATGGCAAAAAAAAAAAAAAAAAAAAATCATAAAGTTCATGAACAAACTACAAACTAGAAGAAGATATTTACAAAATTTATATAATGAACTCAAGAAAAAGACAACCCCAATAGAAAAATGAACAAAGGATATGAAGAAGCAGCACACAGAAAAAACTGGAATGGCCAATAAATATATGAAAATATGCTTAATGTTACCAGTGACTTAAAATCTAGTAAACTAAAGGGTTGGCAGATGGAGAAATTGGAGCTCTTATAAACTGTTAGCTAAAATATAGCTATTTGGCAATATCTACTCAAAAGATGTGTATGCTCTAAAATGTGAAATTCTACTTCTACGTGTATACTGTAGCCTAGATCAAGGTGGGGGAACACAAAAATTTTCTTGTGGTACATGTGCATGAACTGGTTTAAGAGTATTAATTTTCAAATCTTAAATTTCATATGTACTTTCAGATTTGATTTGTGTATGATGGATTGTCAGTGTATGATGGATTCTTCTTTTCAAACTCCCCTTTTACAATTACCCTTTTCCATCACTATTAAATACATCCTTTCTCAATCTTTCTGGATCTTGCTATAATGCTTTGTTCTGGAATGTAAACACCAAAATGGTATCAAACAAATAGACAATTCAAGAAGGCAATGCCTTTGAGAAAAAAGAGAGAGCAAAGCAAAAAGTGTTTGTATAAGAAATATTAAAGGAGAGATGGTATCTTATTTTATACAGTGAACAAAATAAATTACATGATGTTCAAAGGGATACATATTAACTTATTTATTTGAATTTCAAGTAAGAGTTTTAAAATAGAAACTTTTATTTGATTGACTAGTTTTATTTAGTTGACTACTTTTGTTCACTGAGTTATATAAAACATTCTTCTTTTTACCTTTCTTTAACTGAGATATAATTGGCATGTAACATTGTATTAGTTTCAGGTGTACAACATAATGATTAGATATGTATATATATATTTAAAGGGATCAATCACCACAATAAGTCTAGTTAACATCCATCACCCCCCATAGGACATTTTCCATTCTTAAATGAAATCTACTGCTACAAAGTTTTATAAAAGCATGTCTAATACAAATCTACAGTGTATAATATATCTACACTATTTAAAATTATGACAGATTTCAGATATCAACTTAAGAGTATTTATAATTTTTCAAAAAAATTTAGAAGACATACAAGCAAAAATCTTTGAAGATCACCATCCTAGACAAACTCTCACACAATACATACAAGATCTGGATGTTCATTTTAGTCTTGATTGTAGAAAAAACTTAAAATGTCCCTCAATTAGGGTATATATACTAATACAATGGAATATAACATTTTAAAATAAATGAACTAGATATGCTAGAATCAACATGGTTTAATCTCAAAAACATACTGTTGACTAGAAAAACCAGATTATTTACAGTGTTTAAAAACTGCCCAAAGCAATACTATATAATGTTTACGGATACCTACTTGTCATAAAAGCATATAAAATTAACAGGAAAGATATTCTAGTTGCCTCTGAGGAGAAAAAGAGGGTAAGAGAATGGGGGCAAGGAGACTTTACCTGAATTTATCATATTTTATTCTCTCCTTTAAAAAAAAAGTTAAATATGGCAAAATGTTAACATACTAAATTTAAGTGGTAGCTAAAAGGCTATATTATTTGTTCTTATATTATTTGTACTTGTCTGTGGTTGATGTATTTCAGAAATAAAATAAATATTAAAAAATTGATAGTAATAGATGGAAATCCTTCTAAAATGAAATTACTTACAGGCCAAGGTGGTGGGACGGAAGTTACCTCTGGAGTATGAAAATAAGCAACACCATTATGGTAAGTGTAAGGATATCCAGTTGAAGTTGTTAGATACATTGTCCCAGCTGCTGGCATTACACTGGAACCTAAAGCAAAGATAAAATGATACTTGAAATGTTTAGTTTAACTTTAAAAAATGTAATTTCTAAAATAAACACTGGGAAGGAGGGGGGAAATGGGAGGTAGATGGGAGAAAATTTTTTAAAATAATTTCTTCAATTAAAAAAAGTAATTAAGAAAAAGAAAAAAAGAAAAAATAAATACAATACAATAAAATAAAATAAACACCAGGAAATGTTTATCTTAACACACCTATATAGCTACAGTAAAAATTAAATGTTTTTTTAAAAAAATTCCATATGTTAAAGTATCTTTGAAGTATATATTTTCGAACTTATTATCTTAGAGCTTTTATTAGCTTCAGGTGAATATAAGAAAAATAAAATTAATAAGGAATACTAAAAAAATCACCAATTCAGATTTAGTATCAGTAAAATAAAACACAAAGCTTAACAATTTAGATTATCAGCAGTCATTATTTTTACTAATATAAATTATATGTAATGTATTTACCTCAAGACTATAGACACTGTAGTAAAATTCCTAAGACTTTAGTAAGATCTTTTATCTATAAAAGGCCAAAGATGATGGAGGCAGTGAAGTTGGAGAAGATTCTACTTTCTTGAAGACATTTTGGTCCCACCTTACAAATTCTTTGGATCTACTATAAGCAAGTATTCTCTCATGTTACAACTCTCTTTTATTCTCTAGTCTACCTTTGCTACAACTACTGCTATTGCAAACATGACTATAAATCTTCATGTGGCTAGTTTTGGGTACCCATCTCTTTTCCCAGGCCAAGTTATGTATATTCCTTCTCCCCATCCTCCTCAAAAATATTATTATTTTTTGTCAAGAGAAGACTTTAAAAACTTATATAAAACAAGTTATTAGATTAAGTACTTGACCAGCAAGGTTATATAAATGACTGGAACTGGCAACCCTCCTTCTATTATACCAGTGCTTCTCAAAAGTTTACATTAGAATCACCTAGACAGCTTATTATACAAATTCCAAGATCCCATCTCCAAAGATTTTGATTTGTAAGTCTGAGATAGAGCCTCAGGATTTGCATTTTGACAGATCCCAAGTGAACTGTTGCTGGCTCATTCCACATTCAAGCAGTAATGGCCTATTACTTTAAGAAGCACTACTACTTCTCAGCTTTTATATTTTCAATGCATTTCATCTAGCATTGTTATTGCTTATTTTAGTGGTTCTTGATTTGATCCTTCGAGAATCTGATGAAAGACATGGACCCTTTTCTCAGAAATATATGAATTCAAAAAAAATGTTGCATGCAATTCAGGAGGTTCATGGATTTCCCTCCCTACCAAAGATCATCGAGGAACCACAATTTTATCTGTTAAATAAATAAATTTTGAATGAGTACAAAGCATTGAACTAGGCCCTGGTGATAAAGTAAAAAAAAAAAAAAAAAAGAACAAAAATGGGACATGCCACGGTCTCTATCTCTGTAGAAGTTAGGTTCTGGTGGGGAAGATGGTTATTTGCTAATTACACAATTAATTAATTAAATATAGTTTTGATAAATACATGAAGAGGTAGTACAGGGTATTATATTGGGTAGTATAGAGTACTAGGCTGAATATTTCATATATACATGTGTTGTGTGTATATACATATACATATATACATCTATTTACGTATTATCAAGCATTTGTGAGGAAATGATGTTTGGGCTGAGCTTTAAAAAATAAATGGGATGGGAATGGGATGACAAATAGTATTCTAGGTAAAAGAAATAGTATATCATCTAATATATATTAATTTGTGATGAGAAGTACCCATTTGGCTACCAACTTTGCTAAAATAACTTTATTAAATTAAAGGAACCTGATATTTTAATGACATACGATAGAAAGTCTAATATTTAAAACAAGAACCATGTAAAAATATTGGAAAATACATTAGTTGTCAATACATACGAGGGATCCCTACTTGTTGTTTTCTTATTGCTGGACCGATGTTTAGTTTCTTATCTTTATAATTAAGTTTTTCAGCCTAAAATAAGAAAAAGTATATTATTTTTTGGCACTATTATTTATAAAATCAATAAGGAAAACTGGTGAGAAACAATTTTTAAAATTCGGACTATAACATTCTTTGATAGTAGCAAGGCACAACAGAAAGTGATAAGTCTTTAGATTTAAACAAATCTGGGTCTGAATCTTGTTTCCAATGCTCTGATATTAATTCCTTATTGAGAATATAGTCAGTCTTCTATTTATGGAACTTTGGGAATCCACCTACTCATTAAAATTTATTCATAACCCCCAAATCAATACTCATGGCAATTTAGTGGTTATTAGTGGACATGAACAGAGAGGTGAAAAATTTGAGTTGCCTGATGCACATGCTCCTAGCTGAAGTCAAACAGGTGACACTGTCTTCTTATTTCAGCTTTTATACCCTAAACAAGTCTTTTTTGCTTTTCATACTGTCATGTTTTTCACATTTTTGTGCCTTCAATTTTTGATATTGTATGAAATGCCAATATTTGGGAATTCTGCATGAGTAAATGAAGGACTATTTTCCAGACTGCCAGTGGGTAAAAGAGCCATTCAGAGTGCAAGATGACCAACGGATTTTAAGGTAAAAGTACACGAAAGGTTCACTGACAAAATTTCAGATTGCACACTGCAACTAACTTTTAAAAACTACCAATAGTTGAACTTTGGTCCTGTATTAAAGAAGAAAATCCTCAGGATCTTATGGGCTATTGAACTCTATTTTCAAGCTGCAAGTCTGTGTGAAGTGAAATTTTCTTCACATCTCTGAACCAAAGCAACATACTGAAACACACTGAAGCAGATATGAGAAACCGGCTCTTTTCCATTAAGGCAGATATATAAGAACGCAAAACAGTGTAACTTGTTGTAAATTTCATTGTTTTAGAAAATATTTCTTCATTAAGAACAGGTTATTTGAATAAGCATGTAATGAGTTTATTGTTACTCTGAATTAATAAAAATGTTTAAAAAACTGGCCTTCGAGTATGTGTTGAAGTGCTGGCTAGCTGGCGTAAGATCGTTATATGATGGAGAAAATATGTGTTAGATGAACTTAATTCAGGCATGAGTTATAGTGCTGTTGGCTATGAGTTCAATGTTAATGAATCAATAATATATATTAAATATGTCTTTAAATAGACACACACATATAACAAAGTTATGTATTGATTAGTTGATGAAATACTGTGAGCAGAAGGCTTGTGGGAACTTAGTCTTGCATTTCTTCTAGGAACGGCAGTTCAATATTTGCTAATTCAGTGTTCATGGTGACTTTATAGAACATTATTACTATAAATAAGGAGAACTGGGTGCATTTGATTTAATAATATACAATTCAAAATCTATTTTTTCTAAAAACATTAAATGTTATATTTGCCAAACTTAAAGTTATTACACTGAACTGCAGGCTACAGACATTTTCAATGAATGTTCTTAGTTTATTTAAAGTTTTTCATAGGAGCGAAATAATCTCAGATGATCTCACTCTAGAAATCCATATTTGCAGTGTTTTTCAGAAATTCAAAGTGATATTAACACTTCAGAAAAGATATATCCCCAAATTCTTAGCAAATAAAGTGAAAAAATGTATTATAACTTCACAACCATACCTCATGTAATGATTTGGAATTTGTTTTTCTATGAATTAAGTTTCTCTTTAATCTTTGTTTTTTATTAATTCAAAGTTTTGGAAAACAATGTCAATCTTAAAATGCAAATACTTTAATTTTTTTTTTAGCAATTGATCACTGTACTAGAACCCTACTTTAAAAATAAATACCTCAAAGGATTAGTTTCAAAGAAAGAAGTTCCAAAAATAGTTAAATACATTAAAAGATCTTACCTCTTGTAAAATTTTCTGTGCATCTTCTTGTGTTTCAAAAGTGATGAAACCATACCTAAATAAATGCATTAATTATTTTCTTAAAACATTACTTTAAGAGTCATATTAAGATTTCAAAAAATTTTGTTTTTTAAGAATGTGTCACTATAGCAGTGAGCATTTTTCTATGGTGCACTAGCATGCAAAATTTCAGAGAATTATTCTCAGCTTAACACTGTTACTTCCTCTTAGAGTCAGGGGAGTAAAAGAAAAAGAAAAACAAAAACCCAAGAATCTTGCAACAGTTTCAGACCTGAGCTGTATATAAGGCAGAAAAGCATAAGAGATTCATGTTCTGTCTTACAAATTAGAATGCAATTAATTTCAGTCTAGAGCAATAATCTCTTTTTAAAAATAATAGAAGTTTGGCTTAAGTAGGACTTAAGCTAAGTAGAAAAAAACTTTAAAAAATTAAAAAATTTCAGCACAATAAAAATTTTTATATTGGGAAATGAGTATATGAATGTATTATTTACTATTATGAGCACATATAAACAATTAGTTATTAATAAATTTCTCAAATTCAATTAAAAATATGTACAACCCAGACTTTATATCTATTTTTCACTTATAATTGTTACCATCAGAGTATACTTTATAAAATGTTCAAGATTCTAATATATGATATATGCTGATACATGCCATGTCCAAAAAAAGCAAAATAGGTAGACAAAAAGAAACAAAAAAAATAAAAAGCATATCCTCTCACAACATAATTTCTATTTAGATAACTTAAGGAAACTCTTTTGAGTAGTACTAATATCTTGAATATTTTTAAATTCATAATTATTGTATTATATATAAAGTTTCTTTTTCTAACAAAGGAATTTCTCTTTTTCTGTTGGCCCAAACATTAAACAAGGGTTAAGGAGCTATTTTTACACTAAATTTTTTGGTAGAACACATACACCACCCAGTGGAAAAAGCATAAAATACAGTTTACATTTCTATGTGTGCTTTCCAATGATAAAAAGTGAACATTACCAAAATACTGCATATTCTATGAGTCAAACAAAAGAGGTACAATCTTTCTTTATCCTAATACTGTTCATCAGTCTAAGGAAGTTATCTTATCTGTTTAAAAATAACCTCTCTGCAGGATCCCATCTCTTCTAAAGTACCTATCTGTTATATGTTGTTTCCCACCAATATAATTTCCTATCCACCTCATTAGTTCCTTCTCTTATGCCTATAAATATGTCTTGCTTCTCTTTAAGAAAACAAATACAATATTTAATTGATCTCCACTGCTTTACCCATTTTCTTTAACTTTGCTGTCAAACTTCTTAAGGGAGTATACTATGTAAACTACCATATTCTTCTCTGAAATTTGGCTTTTGCATAAACCAATCCACTGAAACAGCTCTAAGGTCATTAGACATTTCTAGAAAAATCCTATTGCTTTCTTCTCAATTTCCATTCTCCTTGACTCAACAATTAAAAATAATTCTTGAGTTATATTTCTTAGATTAGTCCCCTAATTAGGTCTCTGAGGCACATTTTACAGACATTCTTTTGTATCAGCTTTTTTCAAATAAAGCTCTCTTTAGTTAAAGTAGGTATACAATTCAATAAGTATCTGATTCCTTCAGCTTCTGGTTCTTAACTACTGGACATTACCTACTCAATATTGCTATCTAACACTGAATGGTCTTTTAGCCCAACTTCCCAACAAATTAAAGAATGCTAAAGTTTCCCCCTCCCTCCAAAACAACACACACACACACACACACACACACAGATCAAAACGCAGGAGGAAAGAAGAGAGCATGAAATTATCTTTTAAAAAATGGAACCAAACTAAGTTAGCATACAAAACTCAGTAAACCCACCCCCAAATACAATTGTTAATTCTATGGACTATCTATAGTTATACTAACCCTTTGGACACTCCAGCTCTGTCATTTACAATCTTCACTTCTTTTACAGACCCATACTGGGAAAAAAATTTTCTTAAATCATTTTCATTTGTCTAATGGCATAAAAAAACAAAAAACATTTTTTTAATTGATAAGAGACGAAACTCATGCTTCTTTTGGAGATAGAAAAGGTTATAAATAAATAAGAATAAGAATATGAATATAAGAATACCTCTTATCATAAAACAATGCATGAAACCACTGTAATTAAAATCAATATATGTAAATACTTTGCTTTTTGCAGTTTAACACTAAAAAATTCTAAGCTGAATTATTTTAAAACTACAAAGAAAGCTCACTATTTAAAGGTATTCTTGTCCTCTAGTTGGCCAGTTTTCAAAAGAAATAATTTGAATTACGCATGGCTATTGTTATAATAAGGGCATATAGGTATCCCCCACTCTGAAAGTTCACCTTATACCACTTTGCTTTTATGAAAGACATACATTAGTACCTGTTTTAGCTAACTGCAAAAAATATGAAGAGGATTTTCATTTTTATGCAAAAAAGGTGATAAGTGAAATTAGCATTCAGCATTTGTTTTGCAGCGAGCTGTTATAGAGGCAACGGGCAATCGAGCAAAGAGTGTGACACTGCCAAGCTCCTTCCCCCAAAACTGAACTCAGCATCTCAGCATTAAGCCCCTATAGCTTTGAACTGCATCTGTGAGAGTCTGTGCTTTATCTCAATTTATTTTGTGCATCACCTAGCAAGATGTCCTAAGGTATCGGAAAAGTCTAAGAGAGCTTGTAAGGGTGTTATGCTTAGCATAAAACTGGATGTACTTAAACATATTTGGTATGATTTGGTAGGTTATTTTTTTTGGGTCTAGGAATGCCCCCCAAATTTTCTATGCATAAATGCTTCTTTGCCTTAAAACATTTTGGTCGACAAAGTTTCACAGAAATGCTCTACTTTGAGAAAGCAGGGGAAACCTGTATTACTAGAGAGGCCCACAGTCCTAGCAGTGGAACTCGGTTATGTTGGCTTACACCCATTACTATTTTAATCAGCATAGTATCCAGGAACAGTAAGGTCTTACATTTCCAAAAGTCCTTGAACTCAATTTGTGATAACAATGAAGTGGCTATAAGATTTAAAATTTTTAGACACTTTACTGTATTCAACATATATTTCAGCTAAACATAGACATTATGATATTCAAAATAAAAGTTTGAGTCATAATTTGAGTCATAATGTACCAGATGTCTACCAAAGATGGTTTCGGCATATTTGGTTTTAATTAAAATAGTCTCAGATTCATGTTACCTTTTCCTAGAGTATTCATACTAAATTCATTGCAATTTCATTTTCTGGTTCAGCTATAACTGTTTGCCTCCAAGAGGAACTTAAATATCCCTAGAAAACAATTTTCTTTATAAACAGAAAAAGACATGGCTGACAGCAGAGCTATGCTCTAGAGTTCCACTGCTACCTCACTACTTATATACATTATTGCTTTTTAGTTAATAATCTAAAGCCTGCTAAACAGGGTGGTCACAAACACTGAGTTAATCTAAGAACAGATGAATGTCTTTTATTTCAATAAATATAAAATGGAATCAACATCAGAATAAGGATTTCTATTAGATTTGAAAACAAATTAATTCAAATCATTCTCTGGTAAAGAATCACCAGCTCATTTTTGCAACTCTACTTCTTTGTTGAAAAGTTAAGGAGACAAAATCAAAATGACTCACTATTAAGAGATGGGCTGCAGGCTTCTATAAGGAAGAGTTTTAAAAAGTTTGAGACTGCTTTCTGCTACAGTGAACTATTTCATTGCTTGTATTTATTTATGGTTTTGGAGAAGGTGGTATAAGTATAAAGAAAGGAACTCTAGCAGTTACCCTAAAGCTATGACTACATTGTAACAATAGCCTCAAAGTTCATACTGTAGTTGAACAGTTTCAGTAACCTAGACTAACCTAGCCATAAAAATGTTTACATTTATTGATGATTTATTTAAAAATATACTAAGCTATTGTAATATAAATTCTGAACAAGGATACTCAACTTGAATATTTATGGTCAGTCATTAATATTTTCCATAAAAACAGAAAAGTTTTTTAAAATAAGCATTTTATAAAAAATCATTTTTCTTACTTGTTTTAGTGAACCAATCATATATTTGCTTAATATTCATTATTTTGACAAATACATTAAGTATAATATTTCTCTCGAGCAGGAAAAAATAATTCCATCCAACTTGTGAGACATTGATAACAGGGAAATAGTGAGTCAATTATCATACCCTAATGGGACAGGATTCTTTTCTGTATTAAGAAAGACAACTCTCCCTGTAATTTCCAATACATAATATGGAAACTTGGAAATCCTTCCATATATCCACTTGGAAGTAAGGGTCTATTCCATTTAAAATGTCCATTCATTCTTTTCTTGTAGGTGTTTACTACTATCTTCCACATAGGGATGCTGTAAAACATCTCACAGAGTATGCCTCTCTGAAATGGCTGATTACATTATTTAAATATATTACTGTTAAGATGCTTTATTTTGACAAGAACAAATTCTAAATTTGGTGATCAAATTCTAAATTAGTTAATAGCAATGTGCAAAAGAAATAAGTCTAGGAGATTACTCAGGAACCTGAGATAAAATTGGGATAAAGAAACAGAATTTCATAAGATTTGTGTATGTATGTGTGTTTTAAGTCTTCTTTTGTAAATTATAATCATTCGATATTTGGGCTATTGGAGCACTATGCAAGGAAGTATAATTAATGTGGTAGGATAAAATGAAGAGTATGGAGCTATGAGCCAGAAAATTAGGATTCTATTCTTTACTCTGACACTAAGGTACTAGGATTCTATAGACACATTAATGAGCCTCAATTTCATTGTGTGTGAAACTAAACAGTTATATATGCTGTATATAACCTCCATTGTTTTTCTTATGTTATTTCAGTAAATCAATTAATTAATTTTTTATGGTGACATTGGTTAACAAAATCCAGTAAGTTTCAGCTGTACACTTTAACAGTAAAGCACATATATTTTTGTACTGTGTGTTCACATCCCATAGTTAGATTTCTTTCTGTCACTACATATTTGACCCCCTTTATCCCATCTACCTCCCCTTCCCCCCATCCTCTACCCTCTGGTAACCACTAGTCTATAGTCCATGTCCATGAGTCTCAACCTCCATTGTTTTGAAAAGATTCTTATATTAAGATAATTTGAAACCTATTAATCATTGTGCAAATAGCAAATGTTATTATTTTTATGGTTACATAAGGAAACAATTTCTGAGAAATAAAACAACTTCTAATGTAAAAAATACACAATTTTGCATGCATAAATAGGTACCTTAAAGTCAATTCCTCCTACAAAGATGCGATTAGGGATCACTGTTCCATATCTTGGGGCACTTGTTGGGTTATTCAAAGGCACAGGTGACACAGGATTAGGGGATGAAGATAATGAATCTGTTTGCGTCTGATTTGATGTTTGCTATGAAAGAAAATTAAAAAAAATTTTTAGCACTTGATGAAGGCTGAAAACATGTATCTTTCAAAAAAGATGAGCCATTAAATAAAACAGAGTATTTTAGACTTTAATTTTATTTTAATATTATGAAGATTATAATTAAAGCTAATAACTTTTTGGGGCAACATAAAGAAAAGGAAATGTAGAATCCACTTCACTACAGAAAAATCTTAATTCTTAAGTATATTATTTAAATGTACTTATGTTAATTATTATTAAGTATATTATTTAAATATTATACATATTAAAGAGAAATATTAAACTCAAAACAAAGTTTGAGAAAGAGAAAAGCAGCCCTGGACTGCTAGGAGCTGGGCTGGCATAACCAACTAGGTTCTGGTGGTGTTAAAAGTTGGCTTAGAACTCACAGCTAAGCTGTGGCGTTCTCTTGTTAATAAAATACCAACATCAGGCAAGGCTACTTTGTGTTTGTGATGGATCAGGATAAAAACAAGACCACTCCATAATTATGGACATTGACAAAAACAAAAGCATTGTCCAAACCACAAGAGTGAACAAACATCCCTCTATCCTGGTTTAAATAAGTGACTGCTAGCTCCTTTATCAATCACAGCTTTAGCCTTGATCTATTTTTCTTGCCTACTGGATAAGAATTAACATATCAATCATAGAGTTATTTCCACATCCTGACAACATGCGTTTCAGAGTAAAGCCCTTCTTCCTTCAACCCTCTCTAAAAAATGTTTAACACAAGCCTAAATTCTAAAAGTTCTTTCTAAAACCATCCTACTGAGAGGCCCCACGGTGTATGTTCTTCCTAGCTGCAACAATTCAATAGACCCAACTTTATTAAACTACAGGCGTGTTCCCGGTGGTCTTTGGCCAAAGAACATCGACCATGCTGACATTCAAATTCACTGTTTTCTAGCTCTAACATCAAATTTTTAAATGCACTTGTCAGTGTGAAGATTGGATTGATTTCATATATATATGTTTGTGTGTGTGTGTGTATGACTCATAGGTATATATTTTTATACCAAAGAATTGAGTTCAGTACTTATTCATATGTTCACAATACTAAGTCAGGAGACCTAATTTAGATTTTAATAAACATATACTAACATGTAAGCCTTCGCACAATGGCAAGATAGTAGACTCTTAAGGTACATCCGAAAAAACAAGACTTGAGAATAGAATTTTTAAGAGAAACCAGTTCAAGAACTTGCTAATTACTTTCTGGGAACACTAAACAGACTTCTGAGGCAGTCTAATATACTAAACAAGTGCTTCAAAAAGCTCGAAGTTCATAATTTCAATTCTCCAAGAAACAAATACATGAAAATGAATTTCCAACTTAGATAATGAAGTTGTTCTTTTTCACATTTGTTTTCCTTTCATTTCACTAGCCAATAAAACAATAATCTCTAAATTAATCTCCAAAATAGGTACAGAGAAATGACTAGGCCAGTGGCGACTATGGGGTTATAGGCTGAACCTTATGGGCTCTATTCTCTATCTAGTCTTACGGGGGAAAAAACACATGCTCTCTAATAAGGGAGTTCATAAAAACATCTATTAAGCCACAGAAAAGTCATCACATTTAATAATTGCTATGTTGCTTCCAATCAAAGAAATTTGGAATCCAATCTTAACAGCATCCTTTTTGTGCATTTGGAGGTTGTTTATAACTTTGGTCACTTTACTTGGACATAGTGCCCAGAACGGATCCTTCTGGGATGCTTAGTTTTATTTTTCAATTATAGATTTGTATTGCTAGAAATAATAAAACAGCTCTAGAAGATATAATCTTGTCTCTCTGCCTGTTTAGAGAGTGTATAAATTATCTATTTGTAAAATTTTAAAAAAAACACTCTTCATGAAATGTTCTTCTTAAAAAAAAAAGAGTTCAATGGATAAACTCATTTGTTCTCAAATTTGTTTAAACAAAAGTCAAACCCATAATTTTTTTTCATTGAGAGAGGGATGACATGAACAGAAGTGAACAGAACAGAGTACTTTATTTCCAAACTTGAGAAACTAGTTAAATGATAACTGAGAAAAAAAAAATCAACTTTTTACATCCAATTCACTTCATTCTCCAGTTTCTAAGGTTCCTGCTCTACTGTGGTTTCCAACTGCTTTTTCTCAATACCCCTTACCACTTTCCAATGTACTATATAATTTATTTATGATGTTTATCTTTCCACTATAATATAATATATTCACGAGGGAAGGGGTTTTGCCTGTTTTGTTCACTGTGGTATCTGAAGTAATGATGGTACATAGCAGGTATTCAATAAAGATTTGTTGAGCAAATGAATAAACGAATGAATCATTTCTTCTTGCTCACGATACACCAATCATTAGTCTGTGGGCTAAAGAATACGCTATGAACAATAGCCTAGAAAAGATTTTAATGTTAGCAGTAACAAGGCTCAGGTAGAGGCGACACCTAAATTCCTTAGAGAAAGATTAGTGATGCACTGAGTCAAACGTGAAAGCCCCCAATTCCGCTGGCGATAATTTTGCAAACGTCTGAAAAGCATCTAGGTAGGTCCTGTTATTGTTAGAAGGGTTCTTAGTTTAGTAAACTTCCAGTACTAGAGAGTTTATTAAAAATTTCCTCCAAAGTATTGTTCCCTGACTGCCTCCACCCCTTCAGAATTAACCTTGAAATCTATCATCTACTTTGCCAACGAAGACAACAGGAAGAGGGCAGGCTAACCGTCGCAGTCACAGCTTCGATGCTCCTTCCCCTCCGAGGCCAGAAAGTCGAGGCGCTGGGGGAAATGGCCACGGAGACAACTTCCTCGGGTTCTCTCGGGTCATCGTGAACTTGGGCACTGACACGAGGATCCACCCCCTCCCCACCAAAGTGCGGGAGGGAAAAGAAGGCTAACCAGCGAGAAATTTTGCCCCACAAACCCGCCAGCAGCGGTGGCGGGAACCCTCAACGGCACCGACCCGGCGTCGGCCTCGTGGGCAGCTAACCCGAGGCCCTCGCGTGGCGTGCACTGATTGGCTGCTGGCGGGGCGCGGGGCGGGGTGGGACGGCACGTTGCCGCGGCCTCTCGGGCCTGCTCGGCCTTCTGCCCTTCCCCCTGCTCGGCCTTGATCGGCTCGGGAGTGCGTTCGGTGCCGGAGTGTCCGGGTCCGGCCTGGGCCGCAGGGGCCCCACTCCCACGACTCTCAGGCCTTCCGGCCCCCACAAACTAGTCAGGGAAAGGAAGCGTCAGTTGCCCTGACAACTTCTCGCAGTGGGTGGCTGGTATGAGTCCGGCTGTAGCGAGCGTCAAAGACACAGCCGGGCCCAGTTTCGGCGGGAAAGTTGTTTCTCAGTCCCGGATCCCGTCTGGTGTACAGGGCCCAGCCACGCGCCGCTTCCCGAACCCTCTCGGCCGTTCCCAAGGCCCCCCAATCTGCCTATACCTAGTCTAGGCCTGGTGGCCACATCTTTCCGACCCCACGACACAATCCGACGGGGCCTGCTGGCGGGCTGCTCTTCGATGTGGTCGATAGGGCACCCTGCCCACGTTTCTTCGCAACAAAATAGTGGGTGTTTGGGCTCCAGACCTCGCCCTTCTAAACTCTCGGAGACGGAGTCCACGCTGCTCCTTCTCCCCGCTACCCCGAGGCCATGACAGCTGTACTCACCGCCCCAGACTCGGTCTCCATCTTCCTCTATGCGCTTCAAAACCCGGGGAAAGGAACAGAAACCTAAAGTTTGAAAGCACCTTTGAACCGAAGTGGCAACACTGTTTCCCGACGGAGACTCCCCCTGGCGGCGGCGGTGGCAGCTGCAGGGGCGTAGGCTCGGACCCGGGGCCTGAACCTGCCACCCGGGAGGGTGGGGGTGGGAAGGGGCA